GAGCTTCGATATCTCACATATCTGTCTCAAAATGGAGTAACATCAGAGGGATCAATCTCAGCAGTTTTACTCTAATAAAGTGAACAGCAGACACTAACACAGCTGGATTACTTACTGTTGTGTTCTTACCGGTTCTATAAGTGCAGCTTATGAATATTGTGTTCCTCACCGTTGTGTTCTTGCCTATGGAGTTGTCCAGGTACAGGTAACCTCCTATGATGTTCAACTGGACTCTCAGCAGAACCACCAGCATGCAGGTGCTGTACACCCCAACGACGGTGCGGGTGAAACCTGAACGGGACAACACGTGAGAAAAACCAAAGAAACTAAAGGTGGCGGTTTTTCTCTTGTGAAGCAGAGTGGGATTGATGTGTGAACAGAACTTACTGAGGATCTTTAAATCTTCCCAGATTTCCAGTTTATTGGCGGGTCTGTGAGACAATGTGTGAAAGGAGAAAAAGAAGCATTACTGGTTTGTTTTACATCATCAAGAGTGCGAGTTACATTGCGCTTCACAGCACACTTTCTATTTCTCTACACACAGAAAGGTAATACTTCAACATGAGCACGACAAACACATCTACAGTGGCATATTTCTGTAAAACAAGCAACACTATTTGAGCCTTAGATATACCAAAAAGTGTAGAAAAGTGTACAAGTGCATCAGGAGACAAACAATTCCTACTGAATCTAACAGTAACGGGAACTTGTACTCACTTGGTCTTGAGCAGTGCAGTGAGGTTTTCTGAATTCAGTTGATTGATGATGGCTTCTTTCAGTGGAGGGAGCATGGACAGCACTGCAACACACACACACACACGTATGATATAGTGCAGTCAAATCTAAAATGGCTCGTGCTGCTGAGTGGGAAGTCCTTACCGGTCATGTTGCAGGTCCTCTGGTTGCTCTCGAAGTGGAACTGTCGTCTGGCCTGAGAGATGTACTCGGTCGCCTCCTTCTCCTGGATCTCCCTGATCTTCTTCTGGGCATATTTACCCAGGAAGTACACTCCTGGAGGACCGGCAGACAGACAACAAGTAGTCAGGTTTGCGCGATGAATCGAAATATTCGTTTTTTCAGTGAAAATTAATTTTTTTTTTTATTTAAAATCGATCATTCCTATAAAATCATGACTCATACTGCAAAAATCTGTGCAAAATAATCTTAATATCATGGTTTTTACCTTATTGTGCAGCCCTGGCAGTAACACTAAGTAACATGTAGAGTCACCGGCAAAAGGCAGATGCTGCTAACATTATATACTTTTAGTTTTATATTTGAATTTGATCATTTCATGCAAAAGGGAAAAAATAAGCAACAAACTACACGTTTCTTCCTCTTTCTCATTTGTTTAGTCTTGAATCCACCGAGTGTCAGAATCTGCAAAAACCCTTATTAATGTTTCACAAATCCACAAACTTACAAAGATTTTTCAACACCTGAGCTATCACTACTTTAAAATAAACAATCTGAACTTGATAAGACAACACGACGCGGTTTCCATAAAGCCACAGGAGATGAAGCCCGGACAGCAGTGGTCAGCAGTTTGAGTAATTACCATGTTTCATCCTCGCCTCGCACTGAAGGCGATCAGGCATTCAGCACCCATATGTGAAGGAAACCTCACGCCAAACTCCATTCAATTTTCTGGCAATTTAAAGGTTTCTCGCTTAAATGCAAAGCGTCTTAAAACTCCCACTTAACCATTACGAGTCGTTTTAAACGCAGTGTATAACCAACAAACTACGCAGCGTGCATTAGAGTCATATTTACGTGTATCGTCTGGTTTTAGCACGTTTCTTTTCCATAAAGTATTAACTTGAGGTTAACATGACTTTAATGTTGGGGATGATTGGAGGAGAATAAACACGCCGAAGTGAAGAGACGTACTAAACACATCTTACAAGCTGTTGAAATATATATTTTTGTAAACATTAGTTCTCCCGGTGAGTGAGAAAATGTGAAATATCAGGTTTTGTGAGTGGAGTCCGGCGTGTTGCTAAAGTTACGAGCTAGCTCAGGAGCTAACAGGTACAGCAGTTACCTCCAACTACAGCTCCGGTGAAAATAAACTTCCTTTTGTGGCGTTTAACAAAACTCCAGACAGATGAAAACATCCTCGGACTGTGGCGGGTTCGGAAACTTAAAAACACTCCGCACTTTTAACTTTGTGCTGACTGTTTTAGTGGCAACTCGCTGCTATCATGCTAACTGTCAGAAAGTGCCAAAGTATGACGTAAAGCTGGAAAGAGTAAGTGACAGAACTTCCGGTTGTCAATTTCAAAATAAAACCCGAATTGAGGGCTGGACTTTCGTGGCAAACTGTTTACTGTGGTTATATTTAGATCATAAGCGTCGCACAACATACTATAAAAACACAATATAAGTAAAGACAGGTCCAAAATTAAAGACTTTAGAGTAATTTATATAGTAATTTAAAAAATCTAATGATCATTTTGGATTTTTTTGGATAAGAACCAATTTAGGAATGTTGTTTGTTCTGTTTTTTTTGTAAAATGTGACCAAGATATGTCAGCGACAAGATACCTGTAGATCTATTCACTTACCTTACTTACTTTTTCTATTCATTACTTAGTTAACGGAATTGTGGCACCTATTTGTATTTATGTTTTTTGATACTTAGAGAGTGTTATGTTTTAGTTTTTTATTGTTTTAGCTTGGCCTGTTTGCACTTGTGGGTCAGATGAGGACTGAAATTTCATCGCATTGGCTGATGGTCGTGATTATAGGCCTAATTCTGACAAATAAAGCTGACTTTGACTTTGGACTAAAAACCATACCTTTGGGCCTCTCTATTCACTTGATCAACAGGTTTATATATGCTGATAATATATCTGTTAATATCTGAATATCTGCTCCAAATAATTACTTCGGCGCGCTGCGCCCCCATAATAGCTTTACACAACTATATATGAGTCCAATACACCAAGATCTTTGATCCAAATTTTCTGTTCAACCCCTTTTAAAAAGAATCATTCTGGGACGACAAAATGGATTTCGGCTTTTATTTTGTATTGCAAACCCCTTTGGGTTTCCGGCTTTCCAACTGTAGGCACTTGAAAACATCGGAAGTGGTCCGGTCCGTATTTATGCTTCCCCTACCGGTGCACGCCAAACTACAGCGCGGCGAACAGCGTGACTAGCAAAAATTAAGAGCTGAAGAAATAAAGCTTCAAAACTCAAACGATAATTGGCGAAACAGTATGACTTGCTTTATTTTACTTGTGCAATTAAGTAGGGAGTTAAGCTGGCTTAAACGGTCCTGCCGATGGCACAGACGCAGGGGTTTTCTTCACCGCACGTGAACGAGGAAAGTGGGAGAACGGGTTTGCGATGGGACAAAACGCTTTTTTGACATGCGTTGAGGGGTGATGAATGCTTAGGAGATCTGTAATTCAGCTCAGTATTTCGCCACATTAAGAGGGCAATAGAAAGTTGGTTTAAGACGGAGTGTAACATTTCTTGCTAGTCACAGCTGCACATCTTTTTGAGGATAAGATGAGATTTTAATCAAAG